ATTAAAGGAGTACTAATGCAGTGTTAGAGCATCAGCAGCAAGAGGAGCATCGGTCAGGAGAAGCTGCTGGGAGGGACTTCTGTTAAAGCTTTTTTCTCCTCTGACCTCTTTAGCTCGGTGGAAGCAATTGGACCATTTGGCCTGTCAGCGTTGTCCATTAAGGCTAACGACAAGGTCGAGGTCGAGTCTCTCTCTGCTTCATGTCCAGAGTCTCTTAGACTGTTTTCAACCACAGGACTTAGCAGGTTTGGTGTGTCCTTCTTATCACAGGAACTGCTGCTTTCCCCGTCGGGGCTGAGATAGATTTTGGTCGCCCGACTGGAGATATCGCTAGCTCCGGGATGTCGGGCTAGTGATTTAGCGAGCCCTGTTCTGGTATAAGGTGAAGGCCCAATAACATTATACACTCAAGACCAAGAGATCCAGCAAGCACAACAGCAGGGAGAAAAAAAAATCAGCTTCACTTTAAAAGGAAACAACAGCCAGTCTTCTTCATTCATGCTTCATCACGAGGACACAACTGGTCTGATGTGGCTTTCACTTCCAATTAACCTGTTGTTGTGACTCAACACAGGAAACAAAAACAATACCTAAATACGTTGAAGAGCAACTTAGGGTTTGTTTCTTACCCAAGGATACTTTGGCATGCAGAGTGGAGCAGCAGTAGTGCTTTACCTCCTGGCCCCAGCCACCCAAGTAGTTTGTAGTACCTAAAGATAACCAAGTTGTTTGTGATATCTTAACCAAACCAAGTAATCTGTAGTAAAGGTGCATGCAACTTAAACAAATCAAGAAGTAAATAAAAAACCAAAGCGCAAAACTCAAGCACTTCACAGGACATAAACCATTACTTCCTGGCAGAGCATTTCACTACTTAGGCCATTTCCATCACTTTAACCTGCTGACAAAGATGCAGTTTGTAGCTGTTATTTCTCCGAGGCTCATATTGTGGCAGCTGGCGGGTCAAGGCAGCTATGCCAAAGGACATATTGTACACAGGTGGCTTCTGACAAAACAGCATCTTATTGGCCCCTGGAATGAGAACATATTGGACAAAACCTCTGAGAAAACAAGGCTCAAGGAGGAGCAGCCATCTGTTGTGACTGGTTGCAGAGTGAAGGGAAAGCAAAGAGAGAATAGAGGAGCATAAGGACCACTGACAACAAACAGGACAAAAGACAAACTACAGGAGAGAGAAGACAAACATTAAAGACATCCAGTAGTGGCAAAGAAACACCTGAAGACTGAAGAAATGCTCATTGCAATATGGGAAGTCCCGCAGCAGCCTGAGCTTAACGAAGAAAACTAAGTGATGGTTCATGGTCACCTAATCCAACCCTAACTATTAGCTTTTCCAAAAAGGAAAGTTTGATGATCGATCTTAAAAGTAGAGAGGGTGTCTTCTGAATCTGAACTGGGAGGTGGTTGCACAGGTGAGGGCCTGAGAGCTGAAAGCTTTACCTCCCATTCTACTTTTAGAAAGTCAGGAATCACAAATAACCCTCCACTCTGAGAGCGAAGTGTACTGTTGGGATATTAAGGTATTATGAGGTCTTTATGATATGATGGGGTGTTGTTATGGACCAAGTGAAGAGTTTTCAGGGAGCTTTACAACGAGATAAGAAGTAATTACAAGTCTAGCCTAGAAATAATAATTATGTAGACTAGTTTTTCAACATCACTCTGAGACAGGATGTTTCTCTTTACTGCCATCAGACTTTTGTTTAATGTTTGGTTGAAGGACATGTCCTGTCCAAAAATTACTCCCATGTTCCTCACAGTTATGCTGGAGGCACACTAAGTATCTGATTAGACATTGTGGTTTTCAGATTTTTAGGCCCAAGAACAATAACCTCCATTTTGTCTGAATTTAAAAGAACAAAATTACAAGTAATCCAGGCCATTATGTCTCTAACATAGTTCTAGTCTGGCCTAATGGATGTTAAATGGACTGGTTCTTTTATAGCACTTCTCTACTTGAGCACTAACAGCACTTTAACAGGCCCCATTCACCAATTCAAACTGTGTTTTTCTACTCCATTCGCAGTCCAATGAACACTTTGCGAAAAACTTGGGTTCATTATCTTGCCTAAGGATACTTGCTACTTCACATGCTAAATGCAGCAGGCATCTACATTTTGATATTCAGCCATGATCATACACACATGGCAGCGACGCAGAACGAGAAGGGCGAAAGCGGATCGTTGAATGAAACAGATGAACCAGAATTGGTTTGTAAAAATGCTGCAACTTCAGTGGTGTGGAACTGGTTTAGCTTTCGTCCGTCAGATACACAACAAAACATTATTTTTGGTAGCGCATGCTAGAGGGCCGTCGTTATTACCATGTTTTTTGGAAAATACGGCACACTTAAAATCGATCCTTTGATTTTTCTGAAAATGGACAGATCCCCTTGTAATCCTGTGTGCCTTATGCTTGGATTCTGGTTGTGTTTACTGACCTCGAAACCATTTTCTGTGGTACACGGTGCTCGAAAATCTGTCAAATGTTTTAGTACGACTTTGCTAAGCTACGAACCCGCACCGCTTGATGGATTGTTGGACGGCTATCGTAGGCAGGAGCCTCGCGGAGTGATACGTACTGTGCTCCAACATAATATTACCGTACTGTGTGTGTATAACCTCTTTTTAAGTTTTGTGGATATTATACATGGTTATGCTGAGGATATGTCGGCCAGTTTCCACTGGAAATGCCTTTTGGTTAAACTGTCAGCAAGGAATTAGCATTTGCACTGTAAAATTTTTATAAAACTTAAATGCACATAAAAAACAGCTGCTTGTTTAAGTGAAAATACATTGATACTTTTTTTTCACTAATAAAGTTGTGGAGTTGTAAAGTATTTTGTCTAGTGTCAATTATATCGTCAGTTATATCGTTATCGCAAATTTTGAAATGTATATCGTGATAAATATTTTTTGTCATATTGCCCTGCTCTAGTTGGGTGTCATCTGCAGTGGCGTGAAAATGTGTGCAGTGTTTTCTTATAGTATTTCTGACGCAAAGCATGTATAATTGCAGTTAAAAGTATGGGTCCGAGGCGAGCATTGGACCCTGTGGAACACCATGACTTGCTTTAACGTGTGACAAAAACTCTTTGGAAATAATCTGCTGAATATCTACTGTAGCTCCTTTAATCCTTTTGATATGGCCTTCATTTTAATTTAAAAAATAATAAAGATCATAAAATGTTATTAAAACATGTATGTTACAATTATCAACAAAAAATATAGTACTATTAAATTACTACATTATTTTCAGAATGAATATTGCAAGATAACTGAGGAATGAATTTCATCCAGCTCCTCTTTCTCCTCTTTCCTTTCCCTTCCCTGTCTAATAATTTTCACACAGCAACTAAACTTTAGTCAAACTGTTGTACAGACACTTCCCACTGTGTGAACGCTTGGTTAAGGGGTGAAAAACAGGATGTGATGTAACATCCTGAGGACATTATTAGCGTTGGAGGAGGTGGAGGTCATATCAGAGTCAGCAGCAGACTATATGAATAAGATATCGTCCCACGATCACAGAGAATTAAACTAAGAAGATACCTGGTCTTTAATTACATGAACGCTGATGTGCTACATTTGGTGTGCGGTGGAAAACACTAATGGAAAGCAGCCATTTTGACTGTTAACCTCTGTAAATGCAAAATATTCCCTGTGAGAGATGTCTGTAGGAGGCTGTTAGATTCATGCCAATATCTCTGTCATAATAGAGACCATTTTCAATCCATATTTTAATATGATTTTAAGGTCTGGACATCTCTTCATTTAAACTTTATTTAAAAGTTAAAGTGGGTCCATGATTGTGTGTCCCAACAAAGCAAAAGTGTGCAAAGCTGACCCAGTAACTGTGTCAGAGGAAACTGAGCACAAGTAGAAGCAATGTGAGGATAGACAGACAACAAAAAGGCACATAGAAGGTAATAAATAGAAATAATGCAACAGACATGGGTTTCATTCAGAAACAATGTGAAATGAAGGATTTAGACTGGAGACAGGTTGCAAAGTCACTTGCAGATGTGCAGCAACTCTAGCCAGTCTGAAGCAGCTTGAGTAGCACAGTCTATATGGTAACAGCTGATCACTGGCTCATACAGACTGGTTTAGGTTCAGCTGAGTTTGATTACATGGCCTGTCTGAACAAACACACTATTCATTGTTATCTTTCACTAACGAAAGGGTTCTCAATCTGGAGTGTTAGTATTTTGTGAACTTAACACGAGGTGTATTTTGGCATCTGTGCCTTGATGTGCTGCCTGTTGAAGTACTTGTTGCAAAGAGATAACAGTTCTTTGAATCTGTATTAGTTTCTTCTGTGAGTATGCTGGGGTTCTGCGTGGGTTCAAGTGACATTAATAAAATCATCAGCTGCCGATCCAAGGCACACGTACCTGTCTGCTAGTTTTTTGGAACCACATAGAGTCATCCAGGTCCACATATGTGGACAGCAGGTCCTAGGAGGTTAAAGAACTAAAATGGCATGATAACTTGTCCATTCTGTTGTGTTTGGCGTGTGGAATTTCTAAGACAATTTTGCAACCATATAATCCATGCTGAATGGTCATCTGGAACCTATTGTTTGTGCATATTTGGGTTGTGCAAATGGTTTAGCTTTTTGCCAGTCACTGCTTCATTTCATTTTTATTTGTTTGTGCTTTTAACAAAAAACTACCTGGTTAGATTTAGGGAAGGTTTAGACACTGAGAATAACTTGGTCAGGTTTAGATACTGAGAACTGCCTAATTAGGTTTAGGCACAAAGACCTACTTGGTTGGTTTGACATGAAGATTGTGGTTTGGGTTAAAACAGTCCCCCATCCATGATGACTTGGGAGTGGCAGAGCTGTCTCAGTGATTTACCAGCAGCTATGAATGGCATTATTAAATCCAGCGGGTGTGACAAGGTTCTAAAGTGTTGCCTATGTCTGCTCTGTGATTAGTGCAGCAGTCATAATCACCATTCTTTCTATTTCAGCCACATGCCTCTGAGTCCGGCTGCTGACACCAAACATGATCGCCCGCGGCAACAGGCGGTTACAAACGGCAACCCGGCAGGCTCTGTTGTTGCCAGGGACGACGAGGGAGAGGACACACCCACTGGGAACAGCATCGTCGTCCGCATCGGCATCCCGGACCTGCAGCAGACGGTAACACACACGCACACACACAGGCGTACTGTGTGTCGATGTACAGTTTGTATATAAACATAAGGCACAGCACAAACCTGTCTGTCTGTCTGTCCGGCTGTCTCTTTCTCTGTCTGTCCGCCTGTTTCTCTGTCTCTGGCTCTCTCAGAAGTGTTTGCGGTTGGACCCAGAGTTACCAGTTTGGACCAGTAAGCAGAGGGTTCTGGTGACGTTGACTCAGTCTCTGTCGGATGTTTTGAACTATGGTCTCTTCCAGCCGGCGTTCAACGGCCGAGCCGGAAAGTTTCTGGACGAGGAGCGGCTGCTGAAGGAGTATCCTCTCCCGCCCATCACACCCATCCCATACCTGGAGGTAAACTTTACCTCAGTGTTTCTACAACACTGAAACATACTAAAACGTACAGCACTGCTATAACTTATAGAACATTATATTAGGACTGAAGTGTTGTAATATTTAGAGAAAACCCTGTAATATTTTTCTAGATTAAAGTTCAGTTAATCAAAAACCCATGTAGTTTAAATTTTCACATTTAAGTGAAGATATACATAACAAACAGATATTTGAACCTGTGGATTAGAATATCAACAACACCCAACTTTCTTCCAGCATGCTGCTTTCTCTTGTTTAATCTGCATGCAGACCTAGCTGTGAAGTCTTCTCCCTTTGTTGTTTTTTAGTAAAATTAACTCTTAATGATACAGACAAACCTGTGCACAAGTATAAATGCAAACATCTGCATCATACTAATGCAGTCAGAGTATCCCCCAGTCTCTTGTGAAAAGTAGAATGCAACTAACTATCACTACCATAGATAGTATAAAACAGGGGATGTCAAACTTGTTGTTTTTTTTTTTAATCATGGGCCACATACAGCCTACTTTAACCTTAACTGGGCCAGACCAGTGAAACTCACCTTTCTGTCAGTATTATTTACACATTTGGGCCTTCAGATGTGTTAGTATAAGAAAAAGTGCAATTTCAACAGTGCGTTTCAGTTTTTTCTGCATGAAAAAGAAATGCTGCTGTAGTAAACGACTACTGCAACTCTTAAATTGTAAGAAAAAAAAACAATTTCAATAGTAGATAGTGGAAAAAAAACAGGAACCTTTCTGTCATTTAATTTTTTCTGTTTTCTGTTTGTGAAAACAGCTTTCCGTATGGAGCTCTGTAAACACTTTCTTGATCAGTTTATTATGGTCATTAACTTATGGTCACAATAAAAATCAAGAAGGGGACTATTTACAAGATGCTCATTAGCTAATCATGAGTCATTCACAATTGGCCAATTAGCCAATGAGCATGTGATATCACACTAAGCCCCACCCCTTTCAAAATAAACTTCTTGCTGTGGTTCCAGCAATTTTTCCCACATAAACATGCTGCTAATACACTAGAGGGCGCTACTGAAAGAGGTTAATGTCAGATATTTTTAACAGGGAATGACACTTATTGCTCTTGGCTGTTTGGTGATCTTTTTAATCACAGACCAATTTAAAAACATGAAGCTAACTCATGAAATCTCCTCTACATGCATCATGTAGCTTCAGTTTATTCCAGACTTGACTGTTTGTGTCTTTTTTTTTTTTGAAGTTTCGTTACAAGAGGAGAGTTTATACCCAGAGTTACGTGGACGACAAACAGCTGGCAAAGCTGCATACCAAGGTAGGAAACACAATACTGTTAATGCAAGATTTAAATGATGCAGAATTATTACAGTATTAATGCAAAATGCTCACACTGTGTCTCTAAATAAGGACACAAAGAGGTTTACTGCTGTATTCCCACAGTTACAATACTGCTGCAAGTGATGATATGAAGCTTGGGTGGAATAAATAATGAAAGGATTTAAATAAATATGTACAAAAATAGTTGTACATTTAATATGCAGAGGGATGCTTTCGGAGATGTGTTATTTATATTTGGCTGAGAGTGCAAAAAGGATCAGGAAATTTTAGCAGCGTTTGCTTCACTGCGACTCCTCCACACTCACTTCAGATTTAATTCAGGCAGTTTGTGCCGCTTCTTCATAGAATATTATTCAGTAAATAAGAAAATTATGTTGTGTTTCTTCCCGTTAGGCCAATCTGAAGCGCTTCATGGAACATGTTCACCAGAAGAATGTGGAGAAGGTTTCCAAGTGGTTGGAAAAAGGCCTCGATCCCAACTTTCACGACTCTGACACGGGAGGTGAGCAGGAGCAAATCCCTTCAGCATCATTTTTCAGTGTGTGAAATTGCATTTTGGAAATATAAATATATTTCTGCTGTGCAATTAATTTTACTAACAGTCCAAGAAGTCTGACTTCCAGTTTTGTTGAATTAAACTTTTGTATTGTATTTATTTGCTGGATGCTACTGAGCATAATTAGCATGTATCTGTGTCTGTGTAATGTTCCTGTACAATCTATAAATGCAGCCTGATAACCAAGCTAGCTGATCACTTGGCTCCAAAAAACTAAAAGACTAACCTTGATGCTCCAATGTTCAGCCGGTAGTCATATTGTGTTTATTATTAGTATCCAGTATATTGAAACACAAACCTTGAAACATTCGCTGTGGTCATTTGATTATAAGGTTTTGTGTATTTAAAGGGACTGTTAAAGCTAATTTGGCTTTTCAAATGTTTCCACCTGAGTGAGAGAAAGTCCTCCATAAGCCAATTGCTACAGAAAGAGAAGGACTAAAAAGGTTCAGTTTTAAAGGGTTCAAACACTGTTGTTTTTCCAGGAAGTTTTGAGTGGCTATGACTTGGTAGGCAGGTTGGTGGGTGTCTCCATGCCAAATTTTCTTAGGCAAGGAACCCCAAGTAGCTACCAAAATGTTTATTAGAGGGTGTCTGAATGTTAGATAGGAAGTAAGTATAAGTTTATTTGTATGATTGGGTGAATGAGACATGTTATATAAAATGCTGAAGTGGAGAAGAAAAGTATGTATGAACCAGACCATTTACCATCACTGGCTCTTCTTTCCCGAAACCATCCTAACTATGATTAGTCTGAGAAACATCCTACAGTCACACATGCTTCCCTTAGGCCAGGGGTCGGCAGCATGCGGCTCTTTTGTCCTTATACTGCGGCTCCGGGTGGTTTGGGAAAATAAATTAGAAGTATTTAGCTGAAGTGTATTTTATTTGTGTTTAGTTCTTTTTTTAACTTGTAGTTCTAAATTGGAAGATTATTGTAATATTGAAATATAAAAATAAAATTATATCTTATTATTTTTTCATCACTCAAAATAAGCGTCACACTCGCGGAAGCCGGTGTACCCGCAGAAACACCGTGCATTTATCGAGACTTTCAACCCCAGGTAGGTCAATTATGGATCTTCGGATCCACATTATGTCAGCAGCTATTCTCCTCCGTGAACCATGTTAAAAACAAACACCGCTCACGCCTCACAGGTGACAGCTTACAGTCCTGCGTAAAGATGAAAGTGACTTCATACAGCCCCGATTTGCAGATGCTGTGCGCAGAGGTTCGGGACCATAAGTCTTATTGTAAACATATCATGGCAGACCCGACGATGTTTGCATGAACATGCTTTTCAGCATCTCTTTATTGACCACTTTTCACACACGGTTGCTGTACGCATACAGCCGGCTGTAGCTTTGCAGCTCACAGCCCGACACACACCAACACAACAGCAGAGAGAGCACAGACTTTAAGGCGGCGAGGCGTGATTGCAGGTGCTGCTCAGGTGCGTCCGCCTCCCCTGCAGCAGCGCTGCAGACCACGCCCCGCCACACACATTAACCAGGTAAAATACATATTTAGGCAGAATTTTGAAAATATCTTCTTTTTTTTTTTTTAGCAGCATAGTGCTTTTTTCCAATTACTTTTTAAAAGTCAGGTCAAGGCTCCAAAAGCCCAAAGGCGATATAAGGGTGGCGGCTCACAACAGTTTTTGTTTGCTGGATCATTTTAGTTCAGCTGGGTGTTTTTTTCTTTCGTTATATTTCTTTAAGAGTTCAAAATGTGTTAATTACATAAATAAAATGTAATTTTTTCTGTAGCGCTTCATGGATTTCATAAGCAACACAGTTGCTCTGTGGATTCGTTTAAAAAGCAGTTAAAAACTTTTCTGTTCAAACAAGCCTTTTGTTGATCTATGTATTTTATATTCTTTACATTATTTACATTTGATCTTTTACATTGTGTATAATGTCTATTGATTGTATTGTTTATTTTAATATTTGTGTACAGCGCTTTGTGACTGCCTGTCTGTGAAAAGCGCTTAATAAATAAACTTTACTTACTTACTTTAGTTGTTCACACAAAGCATAAAGGTAAAAAAACAATATATACAGTGTTATCTTCATTTTAGATTTCATAAATTATTTGCGGCTCCCAGTGTTTTCTTTTGCGTGGAAACCGGGTCCAAGTGGCTCTTTGGGTGTAAAAGGTTGCAGACCCCTGCCTTAGGCAGTATCATTAGAAGGCACCGCATCCATATTCACTGCTTTGCAGATGATACCTAACTTTATCTATCCATGAGCCAGGCACAAATGAGTTTTTCCTTCCCGCTGTCACCAAGTGCTTGCTCAAAGAGGGTCCTCTGATTGTCTCTATTATTGTAGCATCTTTATCTTGCAGTAAAGGTAAAGGTATTTAAAGGTAAAGATATTTAAAGCCATTAGAAAACAATCATGGGTAAACTTTTAAAGAAACATTACTAACACACTTGCATGTGCAGCTCAATCTTACCTGACACAGAAGGAGCCTGGAATGTACTTCATACCTTCCTTGGTTAGCAGCGACTGGGTTTAAATAAATTATCGCCCCTGCTGGTACTGCAACTTAAGCATGTCCATTTCACGCCTACGAGAGGCAAAACAGTGACATCCACACGATGAACCAGCGGGTCTGTTACATTCTCTGCAGTGATATAGGTGCTTTATAAATAAAACTGAATTGAATTGAACATCATCCCCACTTGGTTTCCATGTTGCTTCTCACATATTAAACAACTTGTAGGTGGTTTTCTGATTAGCATCGATACCCCTTCTGTTATCTGTTATGTACCAACCTCTGAATCCATTTTAAGACTTCCTGACTCACTGTTAGGCAGACATAAAAATGTACGTTTATACAGTTTTTCCAGATTTTATTTCTCTCAGGAGCGTCTGATCCTCGGCGAGCGTCATTGTTCAGTTTGCCCTCACAGCTGTGGAGCTGTTACTGCCTTTAAAGATGGATATTCTCCTTCAGCCTAACAAAGACTTGTTTCCATGTGCCTCAGAGTGTCCTCTGACTCTGGCCGTGCAGCTGGAGGAGAGCTGCGAGCTGATTAAAGTTCTTCGCAATGGAGGAGCTCACCTGGACTTCAGGACCAGGGACGGCATCACTGCCCTTCACCGGGCCGTCCTCTGCAGAAACAGCGCCGCCCTCACCGTAAGAAAACACTTTTTTTTCTCTGGTTCTGTCTCCATGTGTTTACTTTATTTTGAATCACACCACAGCTCGCTGATTTTTGTAGGTTTCAGCCAACAAAAAGACATTTCAGCCGAGCTTTTCCATGTTGTGAGCTACCAAAGTCCTGCTTCCTGTCTGGGTTTAACATTAATATACAGCGATGTTTCTTCAGTGAGGACAGAATGACTCATTCCATCTGACAGCAACATTTAAAAAAAAACCCACTGAAAAAACACATCACCTGATAAAATCCACCAACTCACCTTTATATAAATGTCGGCTGCTGCCTGCCTGTTCAGAGTTTCAAGCTAGTGAGTTAATGCCATTAAATACATTTTTTTAACACAAGCAAGCCAGTGAGCAGTATTTATACAACAACGTCTTTTCTTTCCTCACAAAACCAACAGATCCTTCACTTCTTTTCAGCAGGCAGGGCCTCCTTGGATAACGATGTCTAGTGATAATGGTCGAAACACCCGATGAATCCAAGGTCCACTACTGACGATGTGTCCCAAATTTTAACAATTTAGATCAGATCTCTAATCCCTGAACCTAACCAGGGAAAATGTCAGGTTAGCCTGGGCAAAAGAACGAAATTTGAGGCACACAACGATGTGTGCTGCTGGTAAAGTTGCTGGGCTGCTTTTCCTCATAACAGCCATCCCTCAAGATTTTCTCCATTAAAAGCAGTACATTGTCCGGGATTGTAACATCTAGTCCTTTACTGAATCAGTGTCTCTCAGCGCAATTCTTAGCATATTTTGGTTCCTGCAACTGGTCCGTTGTCTGGTAAATATATCCTAATTAAAAGCAAGAAAACACAAAACCAACTACATCAAAAGCAAAAGCAGCTCCTGCAGCAGCAGTGGCTTAATTAATTATTAATTTCATGATTAGTGTGTCTGCTTGACCTCCATGGAGGATTGTTATTAAATGGATTAATGTCAAACTGCTCCGTGTTGGACCAACATGTTTCCACCACACTGCTGCCACCATCATTTCAAAAACAAATTTAACACCAAACCATCAAAACCTGCAGTTCCTCTAACCTTTTTAAATTAAAGACTTTATCGGAATTTAAAGAATGCATCTTTAATCTAAGAGAAAAAATAATATTGAACATATTTTTCCTCATTTCTTTGGCTCACTTGAGATTTAATAAGCTGTTTATGGCCCATGAATTAAAATCACTGAGACCTCAGCTGACTGTTTTCACCAGCTTAGTGATGGGAATGAATCTTCACGTAACACGTGAGGGTTGGATTTACTGCTTTATGGTCCTTTGTAATACTAATAAGACCCTAAATTTAGATTTTTACTTTATAGACTTCTACACAGTGGGTGCAGAGGAGTCTCCCCCTGCTGCGCATTAGAAACAATGCAGGTTCAAAGTACTTGCTCATTCTTTAACATCACTGCATTTTTGTTGTTTCTCCTGGTCCTCAGACTCTGCTGGACCTTGGGGCATCTCCGGACTACAAGGACAGCAGAGGCCTCACTCCGCTCTATCACTCGGCCATGGTGGGCGGCGCCCCCTACTGCTGTGAGCTGCTGCTGCAGGACCACGCCACCATCGGTATGAGGGGGTCTCATAGGACCAATCTGACGAATCATCTGATATGTTGTGGAGCTCTGTTATTATTTATTTATTTATTTCATATTTTTGTGTTAAAAAAAAAACACTTTAGCACTAAGAGTACTTGTTGTCATGGTTACAGGGATGACAGATGAGAACGGGTGGCAGGAAATCCATCAGGTGACACACACACACACACACACAATCAGGAAAATTACTTGCACTGATGGCAAGTTCAAGCCTTGTACAATTATGACTCTGTGTGTGTGTGTGTGTGTGTCTTTGTGTGTGTGGGCGCATGTGTGTGAGTTCAGGCATGTCGCTATGGCAACGTGCAGCACTTGGAGCACCTGCTGTTCTATGGCGCTGACATGAGTTCCCAGAATGCATCAGGAAACACTGCACTGCACCTCTGCGCTCTGTACAACCAGGTAACACACACACACACAAAGAGGTAATGCACATGTTGGTCATGTGATGGCGGCCTGTGGGTGTAATGTATGTTGTTAGTCACATTTTGGGGGTTTGGGGTTTTTTTTCATTAGGATAGTTGTGCCCGAGTGTTGCTGTTCAGAGGAGCCAACAAGGACATCAAGAACTACAACAACCAGACGGCCTTTCAGGTAAACCAGTCAATCAATCAGCAGATCAATAAAAGAAGCCTTTAAAGTAAAAAAAAAAAAAAAAAAAAAAAAAAAAAAAAACCCAGACAGCTTTCACATGAAAATAAGTTTAAAAAAAATTATTACACTTCAAAATGAGCTTTTAGTTTCAAAAATTATAATCCAATAATTAATAAA